TGACCACCATCACAGTCTTCCTCACCCTCTTCTAGACCCATTCCACCCTTTTGTACAATCTCATCCACTTTGGAAACCACTTCCTCCGTGTCTATGTTTCCTTTTTCAACATCACCCTCTTCCACTTCCTCAGCCACTTCACCACAACTAAGAAAGTGAACTTCCACTGCCTCACTAGGAACATGTTGAACATAAATTTCTACCTCTTCTTTATTCTCTTCTGCATAATTAGCCAAGTACAGTGCTTCACTGTCATCACTCAATAATCTTACATTATTCATCAGCCTTTGTTTGGACCCCTTCCACCAAAGTTTGAAGTTTGCATCATACTTAAATTCTTTAACTATTCCAACTGCTTCAAAATATGACCAACGATCCGGATCAATTCCTTTGATCACTTGTATCTCTCCTCCAACATACTTTAGCCCCTTATTACTAACAAACTTCCCCATGTGATGCAAACAAATGTCGAAAACCATTTATAGACCTATATTCACACATCAACGATTTACGCACAAATTGGAACAACCATAATCGAAACAGAAAAATAATAGCTTAGCTTACCTTTACGCTTATCTTTACACTTGTCTTTCACGACCACCGGAACAACCACCGCAACCACCACCGCAAGGACAACCAAGATATAATGGTTCCTGTGAAAGGTTTCCACTACAATGCTTCCAGTAAAACTACGTTTTCCCACAATTCAAATATTTACTTTGACAAATTGTGAACCCTATATCTGATTTCAATCAACAACATAATTAACTGACTTAATCTCAGTTCAACACTTAAACATCCAATGTGGCAGAGAGTGAAGAGAGCAGATCAGTGATCACGTGGCATCGCCGTTTGCCAGATCCACTAAAACTTAACACCGTCCAATTTTAAGGACTAATACTCAGAGTTTCAAAACAATAAGGACTATAAACCATCAAAATTCTGAGTAGGGACTAAAAACAAAATCGTCTGATACTTCAGGAACTAAAAACATATTTAACCCTAAATTTTATAATAAATTAACATCAAGGCATCAATATAGAATGGAAATGATGGACTAAGTTAACACAAAACTATTGCAAAACAACAAGAGTTGTATTGTATTGCAGTAGTTTGATCTTAATATATAAATAATTCACCGATGGTGCTGACATAAGAACATTATTTTGTCTCCATCCTAAGTTTTTCACACCTTAAAATAGTGTCACAATTGTTTTCATATCAAATTTAACAATTATTAAATTGACATGAATTTAACATTTATTTGTAAAATGATAAACGTTCTTAAAATTGATGATGTGCAGGTTTGCAATATGCACAAAGACTTAGTACAAAGTTAATCTTTTGTATTTTTTTAGTCTGAATGTTTCCATAATACTTCCATCTTAAATTGTTTAAAAATATATTATTAATTAATTTGTAAGATAATTTATTATTAGCATTTAATAATTAAAACTATAATTGTATTGCGAGTAACAAAAACAAAAGAAAAGTTACTAGTTAATATTTCTTTAAAGTTTTGAATTAATATAATTTATTTTTCTCACTTATATTTTTTATGTTATATTGTTACATAATTAAAATATTTTACAAGCTAAAATATTTAAGCAAAAAAAATAATACGAAAAAAAAAATCAATCAAAATCATCAAACACTTATACCACTGTGTTTGTAATTCCTAGATAAAACTACTTTCTCTTTCACACATAACAAATTTAACCTCAAAAAACATTTTAATTTTTTAATATAAAAATATTACAACAACCACAAAACATGGGTTAATTCTTCCTCTGTTTCAAGTAATGTTTTAGGTTCTGTACAATTTTTGTTGTCCTCTCTTTCATCTTTAACGCAATCTAATCTCGTGGCTCCATCCCCTCCTAGATCTACTCTCTAACTGGTACCAATTTTACATTCCTGCTTTCTTCGATTCATTGCAACTAATTTCAATGTGTCTCCATTGTTTATTCATCTTGTTTCTCCCCCATTTCACGATCTATGCTCAATGTCTCTGCTATGTTCGATTTCAATTGAACTCACTGTTGGAAATGCCGTTAGTGCTTCTGGTTTTCTACCTGCATCAATTACCCATCTGGGTCATTTCTAATACCCTAATAAATTGAATGTTTAAAGTTGTATACTTTCATGACTGTGTATGCTCATCTGCATGGATTTTTCAATTGGGTTTTGATTTAGCTCTCTTTATGTGTTTGTGCATCATGTCACTTAGGGCGCTGTAGTTATATAACTGTGTTTTTGGATAAACTTATATATACAGAAGGAAACACTACACTAAACCAAACATACCCCATATAAAGGAGCTTTGAGGCTGTTTAGCTGAGATTTCTATTTTATCGCACTGTGGTAATTACGATTTTATGGGTAATTGAGCATTCAGCAACGACAGGTGTGTGTAGTCTCAATTTTTCTTCTTTCTTCACAGGCTGTAGTAAGCTGTGGTTAGTCATAGATGGCACTCTCGGCTTCACGAGCAATGTCAAAGGGTGTGGTGGTATCGGTTCCTGTTTTGGTTCTGTCTGCATTAGTGGCTACGGTTTTCCTGTTCTTCCTTTTGTCCTCCCTTTCATCCTGCTCCTGCCCTACTACAGACATCTCTCCTTCCATTGCTAGGAGTGTTGGTATTGGTGTTTCCGAGTCTGGCAGTGGTGATGTTCCATCATTACCAATGAAGGAGTCTGGCAGTAGTATTGCTCCGTTGTCAACAAGGAAAGAGGATGTTGAGTGGGTGAAGGATCAAATCCAAGCAAATGGGCTTCATATGCATGACAATGTGCTTCGCAAGGGTATTAACCCTCGCACAAGGGCTCAGCAACTTGAGGATCTGAGACAGTAAGACCCTTCCAAACTATCAAACTTTTTAATCCAAATGTGTGTGTGTATGAGCATATCTTTGTTTTGGGATTACCATTAAACTTTATTATTAGTCATCATAATGGTGATTTAGGAGAAGCCTGCAATTTGTAGTTTGCCATGGAAGTTGTATTTTGGAAGGGGGAGAGCACATTGAGGGGGTGTGGGATTGATTAAAAGTTCTAACAATTCAGACCCTAAATATTAGCCAATATTAGGAAAATAAATTAACTAGCTGACAAGTAGGCTAGCCCTGAAATCATGCAGGAGTCATAAAAGGTGAGAGAAGATGCAAGAGAATGAGAACAGATTGATGTTCTTGGAAAACTCAGTGCTACTGCCTTTCTTTTTGTCTCTACAATAGTTTTTGCATGATGCTATGCTTCAGACTGAAGTTTGTTATACTTTCTGTGAAAATGTGTTTTAAATACTGACTTCACTTGACATTTTTTTTCAATTTTGAATTCTCAATTTATAATTGTTGACGGTTCCCCTTTTTCTGATAATGTAGTACTTATCCATTTGATTGTGAATAATATAGTTCAAGCTAAGTTTTTTTTTGTTAGACAGCTATGTTTCTGGGAGTGTTTAGTTACGGTTAGGAATGAGAAGAGTTGGAAGGTTTATCAGAGAAGGAGAAGAATGAGTCAGTTGAGCAACCCAACTGCTTATTACAGTTGGGTAGGGTGGGAATAGCTGGTTATAAATTGTAGAGGGGTTAGTGTTGGGGAGACTTTTTGACAGTTGTTAGTTAAACAGGATTAAGCCTGTTGAAGGGGTTAAGCCCTTGCTATTGTGAGTGTACAGACTTGACTTGTGAATAATACACTACTCCGTTTGCTTTCTTTCTGTTTTCTTGGCGCCTAAGTGTTGTTTCTAGAGGATCTTGAATAGGTTTCTTTATCAGAAACCTATCAGTTACCCTCTTCGAACCCATTTTTGAGGCATCCGTTGCAATTTCTAATTTCATTTTATTGAACATGGATATTTGAATAACCTTTTTGGTTTTCTGATCTCAACTTGTTCTTCCAAGCGCAGATTTAAGGGCATATCTCACTATGAGAAACCTGAATCAGATAATCACACTGCCTTCCCATGCCCTGGGGAACTGCTAGTGGAAGAGCACCATAGCAACTATGGGGAACCTTGGGCTGGGGGAAGAGATGTATTTGAGTTCCTTGCACAAGCCACTCAACTCAGACCAGACTCATCGGTGCTAGAGATAGGCTGTGGCACTCTTCGAGTTGGTTTGCATTTCATTCGATACTTAAATTCTGAACATTTCCATTGTCTTGAAAGAGACGAGCTGTCTCTGATGGCAGCATTTATGTATGAGCTTCCTGCCCATGGCCTTCTACACAAACGGCCTTTGATAGTTAAGGGGGAAGACATGGATTTCAGCAAGTTTGGTTCTGGCACAGTTTATGATTTGATTTATGCTAGTGCTGTATTCCTTCATATGCCTGATAAACTTGTGTGGACTGGACTGGAAAGATTAGCATCTAAATTGAAACCATATGATGGAAGAATTTTTGTATCGCATAATATAAAGTTCTGCTCACGGTTGGGAGGAGAGGAATGCACGAAGAGGCTAGCAAGTTTGGGGCTCGAGTATCTTGGGAAGCAAACTCATGACAGTTTGTTATTCAACCATTATGAGATATGGTTTGAGTTTAGACGGTCAAAGGCATAATGTATGTGTTTCTGTTATATAGAAGCGTGAGAAACATCTCTAAATGGCTTCATGACACTAAATGTGTGTTGCTCATCTGACAAATCTTCAGCAACAAAATGATATCCTTGCTTTGAATCTTAAGAGGTGGCATTTTTTCAACTCGGTTCATCTCGTGCAGAAATCTGTGATACACTTTTGACTCTTCAAAACAGATGAACCCTATGTAATTTGATCGAGGACTCTATAAAGGCAGGAAGATTTGTATTATTTTTTGGGGTCCTTTTGTAGTAGGGCACCTTGAACTTTACATTTTCTCATTGTTTCTATATAGGTTCTGATATGATGGTTGTATTTAGCAGTCTTGTTATCTGGCAACTGATTGCTGTTTTGACAATAATTACACTAGATGGTCTCTAACACCTGTAATGATGATGTGACTGTGGAATACATGTACTTTTAGAATTATGTGCTATAACAGGAGTGTTTTTCAGAAGGTTCCAAAATACTCTCCGTTAAAGGGAAAAAACACTATGATGGAGGGACCCAAAGACTGTTTAAAGTGTTTTTCCTTTTTGAGCCTTATATGTAATGTTAAAATTGCAAGTATACTTGGACACTTGTGAAATCTTGTAAAGGGTCTTCAACCCTCCTTTCTTCTTTCTTTCACTTTTATTTGCTTTGCTTTGAGTCTGTAAAATTGAATATTTATTTCTCAGTAAGTAAATTTTGTTCACACTCTCCTACACAATGTTATACCAGTTTCTGTGTGAAAAACTTTTTTTAAATATTTGGATGTATTATATATATATATATATATATATATATGTTCTCAATTTCTATTCTATTTCCTATGATGAGGGGCTTCAAAAATGTATAATAATTTCTTTTGAAGTAAGTAAACGTTTTCACATTCTTTCATTCACCATGTTGAACAGTTGTGCACAGAAAGATAGAAT